TATCCCATTTTTCTAATCCATACTTTTGTATTATGGGATTTGAAAACCAATTTACGTCCTTATAAAAAAAACGAATATTTGTGGAAACTAGGTAAATGAAAAAGGATAAAAATTCGAAAAATAAAAGTGGTCCTGTTTGTCAAGAAAACCAATCATCAGCGCCATAATGACAAATTTCAATTTCTGATGGAGCTCGTGCAAAGTTTTTTAAGCCCCCAATTAATTCTGGCGTATCTGAAGGTGGTCCGGCACGTGAAATAATTAGTGCATGCAAATGCAAGTGAAAAGATAAGAAAAAACAAAGAAAAACAGAATCGCATTAAATTGATGATGGCGAGCTGCGAATCGTGTCGATCGGGGCTGTCACTGCCGTCTCCGCCGTCTCCGCCGGTGGTTGATAAAGACGGAGACATCATCATTTTGGTCCATTCAAGCGTTGCTATTATTCATAGGTCACATAATGTTCCACTCATTTAATTTACATGTATGTTCTGTTACTTTGGGAAAGCTTTAACATACACGTGATATTGGTAATTTCACGGGTCCACATAAGTGTGATGGCTATATCAACAAATTCCTGCGCCATAAAGATGTAAGTGGTTTTGTATAGTAAAGTCGCAAACTAGCGAAGAAGGACTAATCGAGTCGAGCGCATAATTGCTCTCTCTAAAAATTTAAACTCTCCAATCACATAATGAAAAGGAAATTGATAGTTGGGTGAAGAGGGAGGGGGGCCTCTGGACCTTTGGTTTTGATATAAATGTTGAAATTAGCCGCGTAACGTTCGGTGTGATTTCATAACTTTAACAAATGAAGAAAACTTTTGATGATCTGCTCGGTGCTTTGTCTGGGTAGAGTAGACACATGTAATTCATCACTATACAATGATGCGATTCTCTTAATTAGTGACAGATTCTTGTTGTGGCCCGGATATTCATAATGTCTTTACTTTCTAGGCATTATTCTCTTGATTGGTTCGGTTATTAGGGGAGTATAACCTAAGCCAAGCCTCACATGAGAAGGGGAATAAATTCGACACTATCTAGCGTTGCTATTTAAGGCCATTCAATTTGTAGGGACAGTCTCTCTCACATGATAGACTCCATTCTATACACCGCTTGTTTCATTGAGAGATTGGTCACAACAAGAGAAAAAATAGGGTACTTGTCTCGTTTAATTTGGATGATGTTCAGTTGGTCTATTGTAGTTTTGAAAACTATTATTCAGGTGTCACGAACCATAATTCTTTCGAATTATCGTACCCCTGTGAGTGAAGCTTGAGGTTATAGGGTAAAGAGTGAGTAATGCAAAAAGAGATGAATACAACTGGATCGTGAAAATAGTGTCAGGATGGTTGGTGCTAGGAGTTCTAGGATGAAATAAATATTTACCCTTAGGAGCTCTGAGGCGAGATTGGCCTCCCGTGCACAAACTGATATGGAGCTGATGCCACTCTCCTGATGAGGTCATGACATGCCGAAACCAATTGTGATGCTTAAAGTATTTAGTGTATATCGCTCGATAGACTAGACGCCCAAACTTAGTTAGGCGTGGTACGATTCGATACGAGGAAGCTATTCGCCGTATTATTCTTTGGAACAACTATAGAACGAGGGCTGACTTGGTGTGAATGACTCGCCAGGCGACGCACGGGCTATTCCGCGGTCAGGGAACTGCCGGTCCGTGACAAATGATATCAGAGTAGGATCCCTCTAGTAAGTGAGAGAGTCATAGAAAACCTATAGTTTACTTGGTCCTACAAGGGTAGAGAGTGAATCGCCAGGGCCAAAAGATGCTCGAATACAGTGCGGCTCTTGACCAGCTTTTAGGATGATAATGGGGGCATTGTAAAGAACCGATTCCTCACTGAATAGGGAAAATGGTCCTGGATTGATTTGGCGAATCTCAAGATGAGTCTGCTACCACGTTATTAACAAGGAGAGAAACCTCCATTGATCTGTTGAGATTATGAGAAATCGGAAGTAGGTGAAGAATGGTGCTATTGCCAAAATGGTGCAGTTGGCGAAAAATGCCACACTTGTCAGGGAAAGCACAAATAATCGAATGTGCCGATTGGCTCTGATTGAGAAAAGCTACTAGTGGAGAGAAGTTGTTCTATTGGGCGAGTGTCCACCACTCATATAAGTCCCCAAAAAGCGGTGTTGATGGTGAGAATTGACGCATGAAAGAGATAAAACAGCCCGCAACGAGAGTGTTGAGGAATTGAGTGGGGGAGAATGTCACAGACCATAATTTTCTCGTACTCTCGTACCCTTGTGAGTTGAGCTTGGGGTTATCGGGTGAAGAGTGAGTGATGCAAAAGGGATGAATACAACTGGGTCGTGGGAGTGATGTCAGGATAGTTGGTGTTAGGAGTTCTAGGATGATGAAATGAATATTACCTTAGGAGCTCTGAAGACGGGGTTGGCTCTTGTGCACAAACAGGTTGAGAGTTGATGCCACTCTCCTGATTAGGCCATGGTAGGCCGAAACCAGTATTAGTGCCTAAAGTATTCAACATGCATCACTTGATGGACTAGACGCTCGAGCTTAGCTGGGCGTGGTATAATCCGATACGAGGAAGCTATTCGTCGTATTGTTCTTTGGAACAACAATAGAATGAGGGTTGGCCTGGTGTGAACGACTCGTCAAGCGTCACATGGGCTATTTCGCGGCCAAGGAACTGTCGGCTCGTGATACATGCATCCTTCAAGTTTGAATGGATCATAAAAGTTCCCATGTGATTTTTTTTTTTGGGAAATTATCCAAAAAATGCATGAAACCTTTTGAGGGTTGGTTTAGTCAAAAAAATGTGTTCTTTTAATTTGGCCAATTTAGTTCTAAACCTATTTTATGGCGTCTAATTCACTCATCACCCTTTCAATTTTGCCAATTTAATCTCAAACCTTTTGACGATTTGCCAATGTTGTCCTTCTAACCAATTTTGGCCGGAAAATTGCTAACGTGGATGCCCGCTAGCTTACGTGGCACGGTTAGCACAAATGTGGACAATTTTTTAAATTTTTCTTGAATTTTTTATTTTATTTTATTTTAAGTTTTTCTTTTCTTTTCTTTTTAATGTTAACAGCTTGTGGTGGCGGGCGGTCCCCCACTGGCAGTTTACAATAAAAAAAAGAAAAGAAAAAATATAAAAAGATAAAATAATAAAAATTGAAAAAAAATTGCAAAAATTGTTCACTTCAGTATCGGTCGTGCCATGTAGGACGGTTGGCATTCATGTCAGTTGAAAGGTTTAGGATTGAATTGATCATTATATAATAAGTTTAAGATTTTTTTAATAATTTTTTTATTTTTATTTTCATGTCTTCAACATGTGCATGGATCCGAATCTCAAGAGAGGGATGCACTTGGCGTGAGAAGTATCGACCGCACTCGTGTAAAGGGGGTGATGGTCTGCCATTACATTAGTGAGGCTACAATGTTGGGCTCCCCACATTCTATATTTTTATGATAGCACCCTAGACTAAATTTTTATTTTCTATGATTTTGGAGTGAGCGGAGAGAGCGCCTTGCTTCAGATGCCGAGGATATTTGGATGCATATCATATTCGCTCAAATTAATATAGATGGCTTGTTCAAAACTACTCCTTATTTCGAGCTGAATAGAAGAATTTGCACGTGTGCTGAATCTCGCTCGTTTCGTTATCCCGTTCTCATAGATTGCTTACACGATCACATCTCGATCCATCCATTTAGCTGCTTTCTTTCAATTCACATAAGGCAAAAATCGTAACATTTTTTTTTTCGATTGAAGGTAAAAATCACAACATAATCAGCAATAAATCGTACCCTCTGAATGTTTTTCACTAACGAAGTTGATGATTGAAGCGTGGTCGGTAACCAAAAGATACTTCTATTCGCCATTTGACTCAAAGGAGATGTGATCTCTTGGGAGTTATGATTCAATGGTGAGAAGACTCTTCTTGAACATCCTTATCTTGACGTGTAAGGTTCTGGGCCCTTAGGGCATAAGTTGCTATCGACCGACCCAGTTCAAGCAATCTTTTATTTCATCGGAGGCCCACCAACTCATTTTCATCAGAAAGGCACATTTTCTTGCTTCCACATCACCTCTCCATATAGCATAGTCCAATACACTGCTAGCTAATTCTGAAACAAATTCCCATGTTTTCCTTTCACGCAATTAGTAGCTTTCTCTTTGATCCAACACCAGTACCTTCCACGATCAACTTCTCCCAAACGAATATGGGATTAAGATATATAGATCGTGTTAGGTCGATCCTCTGGAAATATGATACAAAGATCGAATTAAAAGGGGTTGATTTTCTAAGATCACGGCACAATATCCTGAAAGAGAATTCGAGGGCTCAATTTGCCTGTGCCAGTTAATACCTCGATTCTTAACCGTTTGTTTATTTTCTAAGGATGATGTAATGATCGAGAGAAATAAGGACGGGGATTAGGCGATCGATTAATGTGAAAAGTTGTCCAAGATGTGGGCAAGAACCATGGAGAGAGTGGATCATGTTTTGAGACATTGCTCCCATGCTAAGGATTGTTGCAATAAGCTGGGCGTTCCCAATAGCATTGCTGAGCTCTTTCAGCAAAGCACTTGGGAATGGATCACAGACGTGACAAACAAGACTTTAATTTTACTTACCACAGACCCAAAATCTCTAATTTTCAGATCTCTGTTGATAAAAGCTGCGAATTCCATGCTTATATCTGCTCTCAAATTTTATGTAGTCTTGTTCTTCTCCTGTCAGATCAAATCACGAGGTGTAGTGCAATTCATAATTTTAACCCGTCATCTAATTCGTCGCTCCATTAGTGTGCAAGGCACATGGATGAGAGAGTGTACTATGATCATGAGTAGACTCAAAGGCAGCTAAACAGAACCAATCTTAAAGCGTCCGTTTTCAAGCAAACATCAACACCACAACAACTTTAATTGAAAGCAACCTCAGAAACACAATCTATATATAGAGCTCATCTTCTTTCAAAGCCCATTCATCTTTCCAGCTATCTACTCTAATAACCTAAAAAAATCCTAGCGAGAATGGCTACTCTCTCTCTTTCTAGATCAATGCTACTCCTCTCCGTGTTCTCGGCGTTCGCTTTCGCTTGCTCAGCTATGGATCGAGAATTTTCGATCGTGGGGTATGCGCAAGAAGACTTGAAATCCATTGACAAGCTGATCGAGCTCTTTGAGTCGTGGATGGCGAAGCACGGGAAGCGGTACCAGAGCTTGGAGGAGAAGCTGCAGCGGTTCGAGGTGTTCAAGGAGAACCTGAAGCACATCGACGAGACCAACAAGAAGGTAACCAACTACTGGCTCGGGCTGAACGAGTTCGCGGACTTGACCCACGACGAGTTCATGAAGATGTACTTGGGATTGAAGGCTGAGCGGAGAAGAGACTTCTCTGGCGATGATGAGGAGTCTAGCGACAAAGATGTCGTCGACTTACCCAAGTCTGTAGATTGGAGGAAGAAGGGTGCTGTCACTCCTATCAAGAACCAGGGTTCTTGTGGTAAGCAACGATCGATCCCTCTTGATCAACATTATTGTCTAAAACTGATTTTACCGAATCAAATGTGGTGGTATCAGATGTACACTATTTAACTTCGCCCCTTGAAAACTATATATTGTTCGCACTTACGTAATTAAACAATAAAAAGGAGTGCGAGTGGAGTTCTTGATTGTGTGTCGACAAATGTAGGGAGTTGCTGGGCGTTTTCGACTGTAGCTGCGGTCGAGGGCATAAATCAGATAGTCACGGGGAACTTGACTTCGCTCTCTGAGCAAGAGCTCGTCGACTGCGACACAACTTACAACAATGGGTGCAACGGGGGTCTCATGGACTATGCATTCTCTTATATTATCTCAAATGGCGGGCTTCACAAGGAAGAAGACTATCCTTACATCATGGAAGAAGCGACCTGCGCTCTGACCAAGGTAAAGAGAGCATAGCTACATCTTATACTTCGAGCAAAACCAACTATATGTATAAATATGAGAATGCGTTGCCTCATACTGAATATGCAAAAAGGATTTGGATTCTAGATGCGTTTTAGTGCTTAAAATTAACATATAGTCTGACTGATGATGTTCCTTTTTCGTTCTTTTTTCTTTTTTCCCTTTCTCGGCCATCCTTTTTAGGACCAATCAGAGGTGGTAACTATCACTGGCTACAAGGATGTGCCGGTGAACAATGAGCAGAGCCTCTTGAAGGCACTCGCCAACCAGCCACTCAGCGTTGCCATCGAAGCCTCGGGCAGAGACTTCCAGTTTTACAGTGGGGTAAGTCTATCAATCACATAAAGACTTAAAGAGACAGCAGGCTCAATTCCTTTGTTTTATCTACAGTCCTCAGGAAAGATTATTGTACAAACTCATTCTATCATTCACGTGACAGATTGAACCAATTATGTTCTAAAAAGCATGTGGACTAACGTATTCATTTAAGTGGAGCCCGACTCACTGTCTATTGAGCCGCGATCACTTCGGTCTACTAAAATAAGTCTAACCAAAGCGTTCTCAAATTCTGACGGACATTGCTGTTTCTCCATTTTTTGTTTTTGGTGTTGCAGGGTGTTTTTGATGGGCATTGTGGGAGTGAGCTAGATCACGGAGTGGCGGCAGTTGGATATGGATCATCAAAGGCCCTGGACTACATCATTGTGAAGAACTCATGGGGACAGAAATGGGGAGAGAAGGGTTACATCCGGATGAAGAGGAACACTGGCAAGCCTGAAGGGCTGTGTGGAATCAACAAGATGGCGTCTTATCCTACCAAAGCCAAGTGATGATGCATTGTAGTTGAATTTCCTCGAACAATGTCTTTAATGTTCTGAAATTGCATTTTCTATTCGGGTGGTGCTTGTTTTCTTGTAGTCAGACCGGTCATGTGGTCAGTATTGGAATGATCATATCTGATAATGATTTGATTGTTTCTTGGGTAAGTCTATGGAGGTAGAGCAAAATTAATAAATGGACATGCCATTGCTGCTCGATTGCTGCTCGTCATGCATCTTATACACAAAAATAGCACATCCATACACGAGACCGAAGAAGAAACTAATGGAGAGTATTTAGCTCATTGACGAAATCTTCCTTTTACCGTGTGAGTGCTCACTCTACAACTACAATAAGGTCGATCTGTCTTTGAATACAACTGAAAATAACGAGAAAGAGAGGGTACAAAATTTACATTTCGACTGTTAGCACACCAAATAAACACATGACACTGGAACTTTTTCTGACCTAATTAATATGTACATAAGAGACGATACAAGACACAAGAGTATAGATTTTGAACGATATATGATGCCGTGCGTGCGTGCGTGTTGGATTTGATCCCATGCTTCTTAGAGAGAGAGAGAGAGAGAGAGAGAGAGAGAGAGAGAGATTGACTTTCATGCAGCATCAAGTCCATCACTAGAATTCAAACGCGACCTAAGACCATTATCTCCGAAACATCTCAATATACCCATCTCCGTACCATCCTCGTCCTTCTCATTCTCTTCCAATGATCTCCCTGCGGTTTCTCTAGTGAACAAGTAGGTCACCACCGTCCCCACTATACAAACCCCACCCAAAATTATCAGCGATGCCGTCATCCCGATCGCCTTCGGATACCCATCCACCTTTTTATTGTGCGACGCCCACAGAAACCCAATCGACCCGATAATCGCCCCGACCTTCCCGGCAGCCCCCGATATTCCGTGGCACGTGGATCGGAACCTCGCGGGGAAGAGCTCAGCCGGCACGATGAACGTGGTCGTGTTGGGCCCGAAATTGGCAAAGAAGAAGGTGAGCCCATACAAGATCATGAAGCCCATGTTGGTGTGCTTGCTCCAATAATCATAGTAGGGGATGCCAATGGCGACGTAGACTAGGGCCATGCAAAGGAACCCCATCATTTGGAGCTTCACCCGCCCAATCCGGTCGATGAAGTACACAGTAGCCCAATAGCCCGGGATCGTTGAGCAGGCGGCGACGATGGCCTGGAGCTTTGCGACGTTGAATGCGGCATCATAGGCGTTGCGCTTCTGATTCTTGAGGAACTGGTTGTAGATCTGGGATTGAAAGAGATTGCTGCTGTAGAAGACGACGTCCACGAGGAACCATGCGCATGCACACGAGAAGAGGTCGCGGCCGTGGCGGCGGAGGAACTTCCTCGAGAAGAGCGGGTAGGAGGGCGGCGGGGTCGAGGGGAGGGGTTGATCCTCCGTGATTTGGCTGAGCGACACGTCCATCACTTTCTCCATGTCCTTGGCTGCTTGGAGCACATTTTGTTCTACGAGAGCCGTGTATCTGAGAGAAAAGAATACGATGAAACATTTGAACATATATATTAGAGCATGCCTTATATGTCATCTACGGTTTTGATTTAAAAAAAACCAATCGACGAGACTCTTCTACGTCAAATACAGAAAGTGGATATAATCTCCACACAAGCTCTTATCAGCCGAGAATTCGTTATCTGTGCTTTCTTTTTTGGCCACTCTGCAGACAAAGAGTCAATTACTGCCTACTGGTACCAGTTCATTCTATAGACAATAGATACGACAAGACTGTCTCTTTACCACAGCTTCGCTTTGACTAGGATTCGCTGCCAATTTTGAAAGTAACCATAACATAGTACGCGACTTGTTAAAGTGCCAAGTAACTTCGTGGAATTGTTTGTGAAAGGTTGTCAAACTTGTCATGGGATGGGAGACCGAAAGCAAAGATTGACTCGCAAGCCCCTCGCCTGCTTCGCTTATTAATATTTAGGGTTAATACCACCAAAAATCCTAAACTGGTACATGTGACAATTTTACCCCGAACTTTTTTTTTACCACAAAAACCCCAAACTGGTACACCTGTAACAATTTTACCCTAAACTTTTTTTTTTACCACCAAAAACCCCAAACTAGTACTCCTGTGACAATTTTACTCCAAACTGGTAAACCCGTGACAAATTTTTCCTAAACTATTTTTTTGATCACGAAAAACCTCAAACTGGTACACCTGTGACAATTTTACCCCGAACTAATAATTTTTTAATATTATTTTTTATTTTTTCGAAATTTTTTATTTTTTCTTTTCTTTTCTTTTTTTTCATCTTCAACCTCTGGCCGATCGTCGGACCGGCGACCGGCCGTAGGCGGAAGCCGAGGCGAGGTCGGCCCCGGGCTGGCCGGGCGAGGCTCGACCCGCCGGGGTGAGGGCCGCTCGCCCGGATCTCCACAAGCGCAGGGCTGCCCTCGCTTGCCTAGGCGAGGGTCGCCTTGCCCAGCTAGGCGTCCGTGCAACCCGCCCTCGCCCGGGCGGGCGAGGACAGCCTCTCGCCCGACGCCGGCGTAGGGAGGCCGCCCTCGCCCGACGCCGGCTGAGGGTAGCCTCGCCCGACACAAAGCGAGGTGTCGCCCTCGCCGCGATCCAGGGCCGAGGGCGCCCCTCGCCCGACTCACGCGAGGGTCGCCCTCGCCCGACGCCGGCGAGGGCGGCCCTCGCCAGCAGTCGGCAGGGCCGATCTCGCCGGCTTCCGACGACCGGCCAGAGGTTGAAGATGAAGAAAAAAAAAGAAAAGAAAAAACAAAAAAAATTAATAAAAATTCGAAAAAATAAAAAATATAATATTAAAATTTTAGTTCATGGTAAAATTGTCACATGTGTACCAGTTTGGGGTTTTTTGTGGTATGTTCAGGGTAAAATTGTCACAAGTGTACCAGTTTGGGGTTTTTTGGGGTAAGTTCGGGGTAAAATTGTCACATGTGTACCAGTTTGGGGTTTTTGGTAGTCAAAAAAAAAGTTCGGGGTAAAATTGTCACACGTGTACCAGTTTGAGTTTTTGGTGGTATTAACCCTAGTATTTATCTTTTGGGTTTTTCACTAGGAAAAATACATTTCGGGGTCGATTTACTCTAACTTGAATTATATGCTAAGAATTACGAGGAACAAGAATTGTAAAGACTCGACTCTATTTTAGCCCCACGAAAGTGAGAAAGGCCAAAAATAGCACGGTCGAAGATTTAAGAACTGGCTAGACAAATATCAATTAAGCTCTTGATATATAATAAAAAGACAAGAATCCTCTAGGACCACAAATAATAGGAAAGTGACTTATATATGCGCCTATATTGTGAAATCCACGACCAGAGAAAGCGTTTCTTGATCAAGACAACAACGTGTTGATTAAGATTTCCTATGAAAGTAAGAAGTTCAAAGTGCGACCAAACATTGTAACGAGTCTAATGACCGAACGTGAATCACGCTTTTCCGTTTCATGCAAAGCCGCGAAGCTCCTTATAAGTAAAAAAAAACAGACCGGGGATTAGTCAAATGATCCGATTAAATTAATCTTTTCGTGTTCATCCCTTGTTTTTCTTACTAAAAGTACCAAAGTCGGCGGACTCCCGATTCAACTCAAGCCCTGCCAAGAACGTAAACATCGATCTAGACAATTTTTTTAAAACCACGAGACTCTCGATGATCTTGGCCCTACCTAAGATTGACTCATGCCCATGGCCATGGATCACACCATATACAGCTAGTCGTGCACAAGGTACTATATTTTGTAAATTTAAGAAGTTTTATTTTGTTAATGCACCAGGAGACGATGATTACCTTAAGCAAAAGCTTTATCAAGACCTATTATATCAGCCTTCAATTGCATATGATGCTCTCTTCAGGTACATTAGTTTATGCAAAAGGGAGACCGATATAGTCATCATGAGTGAGACTAGACATAGTTTGACTGGGTAAAAGTTGAAAACAAATTGAACCGAATAAGGATTTCTACGTAACAGAACAGAACCGGCCACCGATCGACCTTCAAAATCAATTTGCCATATCAAAGCTTATGAAAAAGAGAGAAGCTAATTGGTTTCGTTTGTCAATTCGGTTTAAGATGACACCAATCGTCGGTTTCTCAAGTGAGCTTAGAGTTCTTAAAACCAAACCAAACTGGCTATTTCGGCTTGGTTGTCGCAATTCAATGCCAAGCTCAACCTTGATTACGAGTTTAAGTATTTCCTGTATGCTTACGGTAATCATGTGCACGGAAGTGTTATAGAAATGTAGTGGCCAGAATAAATGAATGCATTTACATATTATTGCGCAAAAATGAGCTCAGGAATGACCTTAAACAATCATTTAGAAGTTAATATCTATAAGCACAGAACTATATATCCCATCAGTGCCGTAGAGTAATTAAATTGTGGTAACTGAGAAACCTCGAAGTAATTTGAGTCCCCATTTAGCTAAGACTTTAAGCATATTCAACAAAAAACTATGGAAAATAATGGCCCGTGAGATAATAAATGAATAAACAGACGTCTAACGAAGCAAGACGACGTAAGTTACCTGGCAGTTTCGGGCATCATTATCCGCCAGTAAAACGTCAGCGCTGCCGGGACAGCGCCGAGCATCAGTATCACTCGCCACGCGATGTCGGCCTCTCGAGGCGTCGGGTCATCGGGCGACAGGTGGCCCGATGCCCGTTCGAACGCCTTGCACACCACCATCGTCACCAGCGAGCTCGCTAGGATGCCAAGCCCCTGCATCGAGAACACCGCCGCGATGAACGCGCCGCGCGTCCGCTTGTTCGCGAACTCGGACATGATGGTGGCCGAGAGAGGGTAGTCCCCGCCGATCCCCACTCCGAGCACAAAGCGGAAGAACCCGAGGCTTCCCAGCACGCAATTGCGCGTGGTGCATATGGAGAACCCGCACCCGACGGACCCCACCACCATGAGGACCAGGGCGAGGCCGTACACGCGACGCCGGCCGATCCGGTCTCCGAGGCGGCCGAACACAAGCTGGCCGATCACGGTGCCGAGAAGGGCGATGGCCACCATGGTGGAGGTCACCGCGGCCGGGGTCTGGATTTCGTCGGGGTCGTCCTTGGGGTAGTAGATGCGGTCGATGAGGCCCATGATGGGCGGGATGCAGAAGAGGTCGTAGGCGTCGGTGAAGAGGCCCATGCCGGCGATGATGATGGCCTTGAAGTGGTAGTACTGGGTCCTCGCGGCGTCGAGCGCGGAGAGGACTTTCAACGCCATTGTCGTATCGAAAGGGTTCAAGCTTTAGCTACAGAGAGAGAGAGAGAGAGGAGAGAGGGGCAGAGAGAGTCGAGAGGATGATGGGTCGTGATATAAGTGTGAGATGAGTGGAAGCCAGTGAATGGGAGGGGTGCAGGGCAGTTTCGTTGACCTCGACGGGTTCCTCCCTCCTTTTCTGTTTTTTTTTGTTCTTTTTTGGTTTCGCTGATGGTGATGGAAGCGAAGAAGAGACGAGGAGGAGGACGATGATTGGCGGACGCCTTTGGGAGGCCGCAAGAGCCCAGGATTCCGCCAGATATGCGAATCTGGTCAGCTTCGTTGTTGTTGTTGTTAAGGATGGTTTCAAGAGACATTCTATAAAGATAGCCTAGTTTATAATCCGCGTTGAAGTCGAATTCTATATTCCATTTTCCTCTCCGGGTTTGCCAAATTCCAGCTTTGGTGACACAGAGAGAGAGAGAGAGAGAGAGAGAGAGACTGACTTTGAAAGTTCTTGCCCCGCGCTCGGCCAAGTCGAGGTCGCTTCCGCTTCACACGGTATCGTACCCGGGGGCGTCCTCGAACGAGGCTTGACTTTTCGCCGGCCAGGGGTCCCAATCATGCATCATCACCTCTCGCTGCCACGCCAGCAGACAGAGGCGTGCGCCCGCGTCACCGGTTGTTCCTGGAGCCTGGGTGGGCAACAGGAACGCCCGACCCATGAATCCATGTCCTCCTAAGTCCTAGAGGAAGAAGAAGAAGAAGAAGAAGATACCTCGTTCTCCCCGAAATACCCTCGAAATTCTATTATTCTTTTACAACAACAAAAAGAATTCGAAAGTGGCCATTTATTATTATTAGTATCATTTCAATCATATTAATTCCACTTTTGCTGCTGCTGGTCGTCACCTAACGATCGCTGGGAAGACCGGCGGGTAGATTTTGTCTCTCTCCCCTGCCTCGAAAACGACGGTCCCCTCGGGCAACACGAGGAGCAATTTTAGAAATTAAATCCGATCGTCGATGCGACACGGTCCGACGAATCGTGGCCGTGGGATGATCTGACGAAGACCGGGTCAACTCCCGTAAGGAGATTGACGCCCAGCCGCTATTAATATTCTTCTTCTCCGATTTTAATTTTCCATTATAATTTAGGTTGGGAGGATCGGGAGGTGGGTACGGACAGTTAGAATCGTACGTCATATCTAATCTAGGAACGAAACACTGTACACCCGGTCAAAGAGTACAAAACTCGGAATATACCAGGAGAGCGTATCCGAGCACGTTCTTCGGTTCCTGTATAGTTAACGCGTATGTGGCTCTATCACAACTTGATGTGATAATCTATTCGAGATTCATATAGAGGTTTCAATATCCTATTCTATTTACTATGTTTTCATGTTATGTCATTGTGTGCGGAAAGAGCATATCCTTGTTCTTCTCGCAAATCTTTATGACGTATTTTTGCAGGCATTTGATCTGTCGCCCCTATACTAAACTGTTTTGCTCCATAGACAAATCATGTGTAATTTGCTTTAATCGATAATCTGAAATCGAATAAGATAGTTGTCTCTGTTGCGATTTGTTGACATAGTTGAAAGTTTAACAATTTTCTATTTTCTTAACCATATGGCCTGTGTTTGACCAGAAAAAAAAGCCATATGGCATATATGAAGGTGTTGAAGACCGAGCAGCGGTGGTTTTTTTTTTTTATAATCGTAATTCGTAACCATATATGTAGGTGTCAATATTGCTTGTTATCTTAACCATAATGTATCTTGAGACGATAATAGTGTATTAAAAATGTATAAGTAATTTTCAATTTCATCATAGTTAGAAATTTAGACGATAAAATTAATGTGAAACGTTACTCCAGCATGATATGCTCGCGATGTGAAGAGTTTCAAGGTCTTCCATCCTGAAATTTCATATTAAAAAAAATTGCTAATTTCTTGATTGGTCTTACGCTCTTGTGAAAAAAGAAGGGATAGTCTCGAACCACCATGTTGTGAGCCAACACCACATCACATCAATTATTCGATGTTGGACTATTCTAACATAAATCACATGTGCATCCTAACATACCAAGTCCTCATCTCTTGTATTTTTTCACCTAAGACAATCTTATCGTCTCGAGATACATTTCTATGAATATAGATAGATGAATAGATCGTTTTGTACATGTTTGATTGAGGATGTATTTGTAACTAAACTTATTTACCAAAATAACATATTAAACAGAAAGAAATATATGAAATAAAAGCCCATCCACCAAAGAACATATATTGTACACATGCGTTTCCCTTTAATTGAATTTCAAATAAAGTAATATTAAATGATACCTAACCCACGGCTCTAAAATAAGCAAAACACATAAAAAAAATAAAATGCAAGAAAAAATTTCCGGCCACCAAGTTACGATAGCTTAGAGGCTTGTTTTAATATATATAGACTACAATCTTACCCGTGCAGATGCACGAGATCTATCAAAGTTTACACATCAATACGTACATTTGTTTTAGAATTTATTTCATAAGTAGAAAAAAATGACCCACAAACTATTCAGTACATTGTAAACTTCATGGTGACATAGCAAAAATTAAATTTTTTTGGGTCAAAAAAAGACATAGCAAATATTAAATTACACAAAAATTGGGAATATGAAAAAAAAAAAAACACATATAATTCAAAGCACACATTAAGAAAAGATTCGTGCGCTGCTACTTTTATCTTGGTTTACAAGTTATTTTCCTAAGCACATATTAAAATGGAAAGTACTTGTTATAAGCAATACGACCTTATTACTTAGATTGTGCTCTATGAAAGAACTAAAATGTAGATCCTAAATTGAGAAATGATTTTTCTACCAAGGGAAAAGAGCGAAAATAGTAAAAACCTTTAGGTTAGCATCAAATTTGGCATTGATCTCAATAAGAGTTGTAGCAACCTTGTTATCGGTGAGGCTGGCTCGAGAAAGAAGATTAGTGGCATATTTTCTTGTGAAAGATAATAACCAGAGGAATCTGAATTAAACTCCAAGCCTAAAAAGTAGGTGAGTCACCCAAGATCTTTCATTTCAAACCGTTTACTAAGATATTGCTTCAGTTTTGAAATGCCAATATGATCATCACTAAGAATAACCATGTTGTCCACGTATAAGAGCAATATAAGATACCCACAAAATTTGCCCTGAACAGAAAGAGCATAGTCATAGGGACTGGATTTGAAATTAAGAGGTTCCATGGTTAAGCTAAACTTAGAATACTACGCACAAGGAGATTGTTTTAGGCCATATAATATTCGACGTAATCGACACACTTTGTTGGAAGAATGAGGCACCATATAAACTTTTTTAGCGAGATCCCCACGCAAGAATGCTTTTTTAACAACCATTTGGAGAATCTTCTATGGTAGCAGCAACGACAAATGGATGTGCATGTGAACGTCGGTTTTGGGGTCAATTATTCATCCTGGTAGGTTGCTTAGGTCGTAATTGATAGCAATCGGTTGCCAAATGACCACATCAGCAAAAATACTTACAAAATTTATCCATTATAAGTACTTTACTGGCTTCAACACAACATATTGGACAAGAAATATGAAGAAACCGGCACTTGAAGAGCATATATGGAAAAAATAAGGCAAAAAGTGGATTCAATACGATGAAATACCTTGGCAACCCGGTCAGAAATCACCAAGAATTGGCCAAAAACAAGTCAAACCGATCAGAATATGTCTCGAAATCGGTCAGACCGGTCGGCCGAACTGGTCAATGTCGATCAATGGTTGGTCAATGGTGGGTCAACGCTAGTCAACGATCAACAGCCTAAGGTTGACGTAGCTTTGTTAACATGGCTGAAGGTGATGAAATTTCAGGATCCGACTCATCTGAGGTCGTTGAGTCTAGTGGTGGTGTTTTGTTTTGTTTTTTTTTTATATATTTTTTTTCCGAAATGAGCAGCGAAAGTGTCTTGAACAGCAATTGAAGCTGCAAACTTGATAAAGAAACAAAAGTGACATGGTCGATGCGACTACTTTGTATTGCCCATCGTGGATAAACGTGGCCGATGTGATTGGCATTGCCTCAGAAGGCTTTGATACCAACTTAAGAGTTGTGATGAAAGAGAGAAAAATGTAATATTCTGTAAAATATCAAATGAAGAGTACATTAACCTTTTTATAGGATTTATAGAATGACTATCGAAAGTAGAGAAATATCAAATATAATAAATCATGACCAAAAAAAAAAGTAAGACCAAGTAATGGAAATATACGGAATCTATTCAATATATCTCTAATAAAATCAATGATTATGCATATTTAATGAAATACATTATCTTAGCATTAAGGATTGAATGACGAGGTGCAAAACTTTCTATAATGCATTCATTTGGGTCATCGTGCGAGGAAAGAAACATTAATTTGCTTATTTACTCCAAATTCCGACACATACTTTCATTTTTACCCTTAATAGAGCTAATATATTTCATACCGTAATATTTGTCTACTAACTTATTGGAATTGCTAATTCATCACAGTCAAGGAGATAAAAGTAAAACGGTTGAGTACATAACTTGTCAAATGATATTTAGCAACTCCTTTTAATTAATAAAGTAAATTCGTTTTTAAAAATATTTTTGTAAACAAAATTACGCAATTTCTAAAGTTGCCAATGCGAAAATCAGTACTTAATGTTCTCCAAGTTTTAATCTTTGCGTGTGGAAAGAAATTTTGTCACATTTCATAAATAGACGTCACTTGTACATTTATGAATTGCTAATATCCTTAACAATGACAACATTTTCTTTTTAGCACTCGTGGCTCGACTAAGTTATGAACTCCAAAATTCAAAAAAAAAAAATTTAGTGAAAAATCTCGAAGTTGGCTCATCTCCTCATCACTATCTCCCACCCGATCAGTTTGATATACATATAACTGGCTTTTATCAGGGATAATTGTTAATGAAGATCCATTTTATTGAAGATATCACCGCCTTATCTCTCTAGATCTTTCGTGATTAGTCTTGACCTTTCGTATTTCAATGACTAGTTAATGTGATTGTTTGTATTTGGTCTTGACCTTTCGTATTTCAATGACTAGTTAATGTGATGTTTGTATTTGGTCTTGACCTTTCGTGTTTCGATATCTAGTTAATATCAGATACATGTATAGTCATTTATGAGTCATATCAAGAGTCATGTATTATGCCTATATAAAGGCAAGTCCAGTTGAAGTATTTGTAAGGTGAATCAAGTCATAATAAAATAGTTTATTCCTCTCCTCTCCTTGTGTGTTTTTTCTTCGAGAGTTGTCGACGAGAGTTATCGACGATCGAGGCATTCACCTTC